CCTCTACCTTTATTCTTACTATATTATTCTTGGCTGTACATTCATTGCCTTTATTCTCGTTTTGGCTATTTTTCTATTGATCCACGAACAGAGCATGTTGTATTTTTTCCAGTCCAATAGAGACGGCTTCTCTAAGTAATAAAGACTAAGACCAAAGATCAAATGTGGGCAATGCCCCAATCAATCTATCATCTGATGTTACGTTGCCTCCAGAAACTCCTACAACTTCACAAGCAGTTTTGCAGCTCACGCATAGTAAATATAGAGACTTAAAATTTCCAGATATGTCCAACAGATAAAATCAATGAATTAAACTAAGTTAGAAAGAGTTATCCCAGTAGTTCAGAGAGTTCTAAAAAGAAGGGCCCTCTGATTATAAAAGAAAAAGAAAGATTCTCCCAACAGTTATGATTAAGTTTAGTCCAACTTACGTTATAGGGAATAGATGGTGTTTTCACACAGAATATAAAGTCAGTAACATATTTCCTGAACCAACCAAGAACCATTTCCTTATACAGGAGCTTATAAAGATAAAAATAAAAAAGTATAATGTAAGTACAGCCCTGTCTTAGGTTTGTTAATGATTAAACATAAAAAGGCTGAATAGATGACGTATTCTATTAAACAATATGCTAGACTTGTTTCGCACCACTTAGCTTAAACAGTTGGTGGGATAGTCATCAATTTTCATGTAATTCATCAATGCTTTGCCTTTAAAAAATTGATTAAGCGCTTAAATAAACAAAGAATCTATGTCACAATCACACACTGTATAAAAATGTTAATTCTCCTCAATAAAGATACACTCAGATGCAACTCTTTTGAGTCTGTGTCTGTTTGTCACTTCGCCGACTCCTTTGCCCACCTATCCTGAGATCCCTGTCCCGTCGGTCCCAGTGCTCCAGCCGAGCTGGTCCGTCGCAATGTAGTCTAACCTAAATTCCACATTTTGTAATTTGCCTTTTAGTAAATCATCAGTATCTTTTCATATAAAATGCCTGTAACTTCTTTTTTTGGGGGGGGGTCCGGTCATGGGGCCTGAACTCTGGGCGTGGGCGCTGTCCCTCAGCTCTTCAGCTCAAGGCTAGCACTGTACCACTTGAGCCACAGCGCCACTTCCGGCTTTTTTCTTTTTTGCTTATGTGGTGCTGAGGAATCGAACCCAGGGCCTCATGCATGCAAGGCAAGCACTCTACCACTGAGCCACCTTCCCAGCCCCTGTAACTTCTTTATTTTAATACTTCACATCATCCCAGTATGTGATTGTATTATAACTCCTCCCTTCCTTCTTTCTTCCTTCCATTCCTTCCCATCTTTCCCTCCTTTCTGTCCTATCCACTTAAACGCAGGGCCTCAAGCATGTGAGGTAGGTGCTCTACCAGCTGAGCCACACACTTCACTGTTTTTGCTTTAGTCATTTTTGTAGTAGTGTTTTATGTTTATGACCAGGCCAGCTTGGACCATAATCCTCCTTTTTACCCTTTCTGAATAGAGATAAAAAGCACAATGCACTGGGTTCAGATATTGATTGAGATGCAGTTTATGAATACTTTGCCTAAGCTGGCCTTAAATCATAATCCTCTGTGTCTCAGTCTCTTCAGCAGCTAGGATTACAAGTGCAAGCTACCATGCCTGGCTCAAATTTCTAACTACTAAAACATATTAACAAAGTTTTAATAATTTTAAATGTTGAATTTGGGACAGTGGGTGCTTTCACTTGCCTAGTTTCAAATTTCACCAAAAAAACCCAAATATTAACCTTTGATTTCTTAGAATTCATAAAATAAACAGATAAAATTTTTAAAAAAACTATTTAAAGAAAAAAGCCAAAAAGAAAGCATCCTTACAACCATAACTTTGGATTTGACACCTTGCCAAAATTGTTTTACATCATAGTTGTTTTTTACGGAGTGTGTATTCCAACATCTACGGCCAAACAGTCTATAACCACAGGAGAAAAAGCCAGGCTATAGGCCAACACACCAAGGGAAGGGAGGGTCCAGAGGCCTTGTAGGTGGCCATGTCCCAACATTTTACCTGAAGGGTTAGGGCAGCTTAAATATAGGGGGGGAAAAAGCAGAGAAATAGGAAAAATATATTAATATTCCAAATGTGTGGAATCAAAGAGTGGGTAAAAGTAGTATAACACTAACAATGGGTATTAGAACAAACATCTTCTAGTGTTAAAAAAATAAGAGCAACAAATTACAGTTCAAGAGCATCTTGGAGAATATTGATTTCAAGGAGACGCAGCAAATATGGTGTCATGTAATCAAAAAACCAAAACCTAGCCAATGTCTTTTCATTCTATTATAGCACTAGTGATTTCATTCAACAAACTGATAAGGATGATCGCCCCAACACAAAAGAAAAATAAAAATCAAACTGCTGCTGTCTAAAACACAAAGTATCTTATACTTCGAGAAGATTGCCCTTCCTGTGCATGGCTGACATTTTACGTACTGATCACTAATAGGAAAGAGTTCTGAAACAGAACAGGGATAACGACTTACCCCTTTTAATCGCACTCAAATTAGAAATCACTGTTCTATGAGGCTGGCTGAAACAAACCAGTTCTTACATTTCTATCCATTCATGTAGAAAGTACCAGCTGTTTGCCATCTTCAGTTTGCAAAGGACATAAATTAAACAGTATACTGGAAAGATTTTGCTCTCTTCTGCTGATGTGCTAAAGAGGGTCTATTTCTGTCTCCAAGCCTGGGTGAGATTCTACAGCAGCAATTCACCTCTATGTTGAAAGAACAAAAGCATTAGCTCTCTCTCTCTCTCACGCACACACAAGCATTCTGGAATCAGTTATTGATGACCAAGGGTCTGGTTTATTACTTGTAAAATAATTTCATTGTTCCTCCTTTGTGTGTGCCAGGTCTGGGGCTTGAACTCAGGGCCCCTTGCTTTCCCTTGGCTTTTTCCCTTAGGGATGATACTCTGCCAGTTAAGCCATTCCTCTACTTCTGGGTTTATCACTGCTGAATTGTAGACATCTTCCTGCCTGGGCTGGTCTGTAGTCATGATCCTCAGATCTCAGCCTCCTAAGCAGTGAAGATTATAGGCATGAGCCACCAATGACTGGGTTACTTGTTCCTTTGATAAAAATCCAAATGGCTACAGCATGGTTTAACAGAGAGTTTGAATCCTTTTCTGAGCCTTAGAAAAATCCATGAGACTCTTACCTCCAGTTAGCCACCCAAAAGCTGGAAGCCAAGCTCTGGCTTGGCTCACATAGTAAAGTATCAGCCTTGAGAGTAAAAGCCAAACAAGAGCACAAGGCCTTGAGATCCAACCCCAGTACTGGCACAGGGGAACAAAAATCTCTGCTCTCTTTCTGTCTCTAGCTATAGATGGTTTGATCTCTACACCTATCTGAACAGCACACAACTGGCTCAAGGTATGTATGTGCAAATGTGGGTAATACGAATGAACAAACAAATCCTCATCCTCCTTCAAAACAGTGGTGAGGTAAGACTTTCATGTTCTTATAAGCCAACCGAAAACTAAAAGTAAAAAACAAGAGAAGGAAGCAGCACCACGGTACCACCCCGGAGGGAAGGTCGGCAGGAACTAAGACGTCATTTCAGAAGGCAGCCTTTGGCATCGCGCCCTGGTACTACCCAGCCATCTGTCATCTTTAAGCCTTAGCTGAGCAACAGAGTGGGGAAAAAACATCCTCGCACGTTAGGAAAGAAGAAAAAGAAAAAGAAAGAAACCCTGGAGCTGTCCAGCCCAGCTGAGCTGAGAGGGTGGGTGCAGTGCGGTTTCCAGAGTGATCACAATGGTGATCACCAGTCCCGAGGTGCTGTGGGTATCACTCGCACTGTCCATCACCAAGAGCCAGCTCTTTCCAGGCTCAATCGTCTCAGGCCTGCGGCAGACCCCCAACTCCACCCCCGGCCCATTTGGCACACTGTCAGTCCAGGCCACTGGGCAGAGAGACTCACCGCTCCCACCCCAATATTCAGACAGGATTCACAGCTCCACAAGCTGTGGGGATGATGCATCACTAGGCCCCCATTATGCACAGGACACTGGCCATACAACCCCAAGTTGGGACCCCTTTCTTAAAAGACACGAACAGGGGATACCCAAGTCAGTGCAGCAGTGGGCACTGCCAGAGAAAACTTTCAGGGGCAAGAAGACTTTAGTGACCCTAGCTCTGGCCTGCAAGTGTTCAGTCTACCTTTCTTTGGTCCCTGTGTCATCTCAGAGCAAGGGCAGCCATGTATATCCACCTGGCAGATAGGCCCACGCGCATGCTCAACTCCACAGCAAATGCAAATCCAGATGCATCACTGCAAATCACATAAGTGCAAGCACGCACACGCACACACACACACACACACACACACATACACTAGCAGATCTCATCCTTCAATAAAAGGGTGGACAGTTCATGTGTCTCGTACCCTTTGGCACACTAGGAGGGCAGTCTTGGCTACATTCAGTGATACAGAAGTGTTGGTGACTAAAGATGCATTTACTTACTTGAGTGTCACCAGTTCAAGGCTGACACTCTACCGTATGAACCACAGTTCCACTCCCTGATTTTTTTTGGGGGGGGGCTGATTCATTGGGAATAAAAGTCTCATGGACTTTGCTGTTCAAGCTGGCTTCGAACCATCCTCAGATCTCAGCCTGGTGAGTAGCTAGGATTACAGAAGTGAGCCACCAACATCTGGCTTCATACCACCACAGATTCCTCGCCACCTGCACCACACACACACACACACACACACACACACACACACACACACACACACACCATCACACACACACACACACACACACCATCACACACACACACACACACACACCATCACACTATGCCCAGCAAGAGGAAGAAGAGCTGAGCTGGCCTGAGCCAGGACGGGGGCGGGGGCAGAGTGCGGGGCGTGGCTTCACGAAACCACGCCCGTTCGCGTCATCGCCTTGGGGGCGTGGCTCGTGCCTGCCGGCAGAAGTGTCAGTCAGTCCCTGCGCTGGGACGATGCGGGGCGCCTAGGATGCTGCTGCTGCGGCTGCTGCTGCTGCTGCCGCTGCTCTGCCTGCGCCTGGGCCGGGGTGCACACAGTAAGTCCTGGGGATATCGGCCCTGCCCAGTCCACCAGCGTCCAGTGCCAACCCCCCTTTACAGCTACGGTCGGGTGGAGACCCGCGTGGGGCTGGCCCTGGTGGGAGCGAGGCGCCGCTGGCCGGGGGGGGGGGGGCTGAAGGGGGGGTGCCGGGCTCCCCTGTAGAGGGAGTGGAAGAAGCTAGGACTGGCGGGGAAGGTGGGGGTGAGGGAGGGGCCGGCTGACGGCCACACACTGAACCCGGGTAGGTATTCTTGCCCTCTGCTTCTCTGATGGGGATGTTTGCCCCCCCCCAGGTGATCCTGACCCCCTTCTTGCCCTCCCTCCTTGCCCTCTCCTGGCCTTCTGATCATCCCTGCCTGGAATCCCCAGCTCACTCCCGCTGCCCCCTGCCCCCGCCCTGCCCTGACCACTACCCCTTAGTTCAGGCTAAGTTCCCAGATTCAGAGAAGCCCCAAGGGCCCCAGGTTTGAGGAACCAAGACCAGAGGCCGGGAGAGCAAGAACCACAATCACTTCTACCATGCCACCAGTAAGCATGAGGTCAAACTCTCAGCCAGTCATGTGATCGAAACCTGAAATGGGAGGGCTGGGGGCACGGCTCAAGTGGTGGAGGCCCGAGTTCAAACCCCAGTACAGCCAAAAACAAAAACAAAAAGAGAGAGTAGAAGAGAAAGTTGAGAAAATCGGTTGCATTTTCCACTTGACATCTAATGTTTTGCAATGAAAACACAGGCTTGAGGCTCGAAGACGGTGTGTGAAAGAATTCAAGGGACAGGTAGATTTTCTAAGTGAGAATGAGAGTCACTAAAAAAGAGGCAGGAGTTCAGCAGTGGTGAGGAGGAGACACCTCCAGGGACCTAGACGTGGGAAGGGGGAACTCATTTGCCTTTGGCCCTCACATTCTTTCACCCAATTGATCACCAAGATTTGAAGTAGGGCTGGGTGGCTCACACCTGTCATCCTAGCTACTTAGGAGGCTGAGATCTGAGGACCACAGTTCAAAGCCAGCCCAGGCGAGAAAGTCCATGAGACTCTTATCTCCAATAAACCACTAGAAAACCAGAAGTGGTGCTGTGGTTCAAGTGGTAAAGTACTCACCTTGAGGTGAAGAGCTGAGGGATAATGCCCACAATAGACAAAAAATAAAAAGAAGAAGAAGATGTGAAGTAGGAGTGGGTAATGGGTTCTTATTAGAGGCAAGACAGGGCTCTTGGAGATCGGTGTATGTCCAGGCTGAAGGCATGGGAAGGGGCTGCTTGGCGTTTGGTTATCTCTCTATAGATCCTAGGGTGCTGGCTCTTTAAGGAGCTATCCTCATGTAGTCCAGACTCAATGTTTGTGGTCACCCTGCCTCAGGTAGCGGCCTGAGTACAGGGTAATACTTCAACTTGGGGAGCCTAAGGAAAAGAAAACAAGAACAGGGAGAAGCCAAGGATGTGTGTGTGTATGTGTGTGTGTGTGCATGCACATGCTTGCACGCACGCATGCATGCGTGTGCATGCGCATGCTAGAATTACAGGTGTGAGTCACCAGCGCCCAGTGGGACAAGCTCTTTTCGGGCTCACTGCCCAGGCTGCCTTTTCTGTGGGGTGTGGCAGCTGCAGTCATTCTCAGTCCTCACTGTGGCCTCTGGTCCCAGACAGCACAGGACAGCTCTGGAATTAGACACACCCAATGCAGGTCTCCACTCTGACCCTTCCTAGCTCCATGGGGCTTGAGCAAGTCATTAACCTCTGTGAGCTTTCTTCTTTAGGAAGATCAAGGCCAATACACGGGGGTGAGAGAGAGATGCCTGGGTATGCAGGGCGGTGGTTGATGTCACTAAATGGAGCATATACAAAGTACTTAGCAGAGCATCATGAAGCACCCACTATGTGAGTGGCAACCCTGTATCCCTCCCCCTCCTCCTCCTCCTCCTCCTCCTCCTCCTCCTCCTCCTCCTCCTCCTCCTCCTCCTCCTCCTCCTCCTCGGCTTCCTCCTTGTCCCCGGGGACAAGCACAAATAGCTCTGATGTTCACACTCTTCTCCCCAGGGACGGAACTGCCCAGCCCTTCTTCAGTGTGGTTCGAAGCACTGTTCTTCAAACATGTCCTCCACTGGACACCCATCCCAAATCAGTCCCCAAATACCTCCTATGAAGTGATGCTGCAGAGGTATGGAGACAGGCATTGGAACCTTCTCCCCAACTGTACAAAGGTCCTGGCTCTGTCCTGTGACATCACCATGGCCACCCTGGACCTGTATCACAACAATGGTTACAGGGCCAAAGTCCGAGCCGTGGACGGCCACCAGCTCTCCAATTGGACCCCAGCTAGCCCCCGCTTCACCATGGATGAAGGTGCTTTTTCCTCCCCCGCAGCCATGACTTTGGGGCTTCCTTCCAGCCAGAAACTTGAGCCTAGAACTTTTCCCTCGGTATCTATAGCTTGTCCAATCAGCCAGGCTTCCTAATCCGGAAGCCAGTGGCCCAAACAGGGCTGGGTCAGTACTTTGGGAAAGATTAAGCAAAAACAGTCAGAATGTTTAGAGATTAAAAAGGGAACTGGAGTTGTTGACCCTCTCAAAGAGAGATCTTGGGGTATGGGTTGAGTCACAAGGGTCAGGCCAAGCCTGGGAATGTTAGATTTGGGGAGAAGAAGAATTTACAGGGTACAAGTAGTAGGCAGGCTGAATGAGGTCCTCTCCTCTCTGGGGGACAGCTCCCTGGGATTGTGGAAAGGTGGGGGGGGTAATCCCCCTGGAAAGGTAACACAAAATGATTCACCCCAGACTCCGCAAGATTTTTCCCTTCCACTAGGGGTTGAGGTGGCCTGGGTACCTGGGCTCAATCCATCACAGACCCCTTTGCTAGGGAGAGTGTTTAATTTCCAAGACTCATCTCCAGCAATGCCTAAGTCCTACATGGGCGTAGGGCATCTGGATGTTTCACATGCTCCCAAGAAGTTCTTACTGTGAGGTGGGGTTGGGAAACCTGTGGCCTGGGTGTTTGGGCGGGTGACGCGTGACCCCGGGGGCAGGTCATGGGTGCAGCCCCCCAGGCCTCGGCCTCATGGCTTTGCCTCTCCCCAACTCAGTGGTTCTCACGGTTGGTAGTGTGAAACTGGAACTGGACAATGGCCTCATCCATGGGACAATCCAGCCCTTCCGGCCCCCGAGGGCTCCCGCGGGCGACAAGTACGAAAGCATCTTCAGACACTTCCGCAAGTACCTGATTGCTATCCGCAAGCCGCCGGGAAACTACTCGGTATGGTGTTCCCTGGGCAGTCTTCACCTGTGTATGCCACTGTGCGTGCCCAGGAAAGGGAGGGGCTGGAGTGTGGGGGAGGGTGTCAAAGGGATGTGAAACCTGGGCTCCAGAGACACCAGCCACTCTGTCTCTTCCTCTCGAGGGGTCATTGTGCCTGTGTTAGAGTTGAGGAGACGAGGCCGTGTGACAGGCATAAGGGCACACCTGCAAACTGGAATCTGCAAAATTCATCCTTTTCCTCCTTACCCTGACAGAGTCCAGTCCCTTCTGTAAAGAGCCTCAGCTCCTAGGAAAAACCAAGCTATTAAAAAATCTCTATTAAAATCAGCCTCGCTCAGCCTGTAACCCTAGCTACTCAGGAGGCTGAGATCTGATGAGCAAGGTTCAGGACCAGCCTGGGCAGGAAAGTCCTTGAGACTTTTATCTACAGTTGACCAGTATACACATGCGCGTGCAAACACACACCGGCTCTGGTAAATACAGAGCTGTCAGCTGCATTAATAACCACAGAGTTTGTTATTTAAAAAACAAACCTGAGGATGTTGGCCTTAGGATGTTTCAGAGGTAGATAGATCACTTGCCTGGCATAGTATGAGGCCCTAGTTCATCCCCAACACCCCCCACCAAACAAAAACAAAACCCGGCCCCTCTAGACCGCAGCCTCTCCTTGCTGTGCATAAAACAATTCTCCCTATGGTTGTTTTTGTTTCTCCTCCCAAAGATGGTGGTAGACAGTGAGCACTTCAGCCTCCTGGCAGGAGAGGTGGGAACGCTGTGTGTCAAGGTCAAGCCCTTCATCGACTCCCGGACCAACAAGGGCAACTGGTCAGAAGAGCAGTGTATCACCCTCAGCAAGCAGTGTAAGTGAGCCTGGCCCGCTATCTGGCTACCGGGGCCTGGTAGGGCTGGCATTACTCCGGAAAGCATCACTCGGGACTGCTGGTGCCAGTCTTTGTGCCAGGCACTGTCCACCATGGTTGCCACCCCCCCCCAATCTACAACAGAGATGTTCCTGTCTCCATCTTAGAGAGGAGGAAGGGGCCCGGGCTTGTGTAAGCCACTTCCTATGGTCAGCAGAACCCGGTCCCCTGATCCTGGGAGGGGAGGGGGCCTCCACTTGAGCAAGCTGGGCTTCCCAGGGGTCTCCCAGGACCCTTCCTCAACTGGCCAGTGTGTGGCAGGGTGCAAAAACTCTGCCCTCCTCTCCTCCAAGGAAGCAGAAGTGAGCTGGCTTCTGGAAAGAATGCAAAACTCAGCAAACCCAGGCCCCAGCTGGGTTCAGAGTGGGGAGGTGAGGGGTACTGGGTATACAGGACCTGATTGGCCCTGGACGGTCTTGTGGTCTAACTGGGAGACCAGAGGCCCACGGGCAGCTGTCACTAGTAACCCAAGGCAGCCACGGCAAGTGCCCGAATCAAGCCAGCTGTGAAAACCTAGGTTTGAGGGCCCAGTGAACCCCACAGTGCTGCCTACAGATGTGTAGTACATCTCAGAGCATGAGGACGCTGAGGAGGTCCTTACCGTGCGTCCCTCTCCAGGACTAAGGCACAATACGTGCAACTGGTAACCTGAAGAGCTCCATTCATTCATGCATTCATTTTGTGCAAGTCCCGGGCTTGAACTCAGGGTCTGGGTGCTGAGCTTTGTGCTTAAGGCTAGTGCTCTACTACTTTAGCCACAGCTCCACTTCCAACTCTTTTGGGTAGTTAATCGCAGATAAGAGTCTTTCTTGCCTGAGCTAGCTTCAAACAACCAAACTGAGATGTCAGCCTCCTGAGTGGCTGGGATTATAGGCAGGAGCCACCAGCTCCCCGTGAGCTTCATTTATTGGTACAAGAAATAGTTTGCTCTAATCTCAGCTTCACCGCCAGCGAGGTCAATGACGTGGGCTAGGCCCTTCACTCCCCAAGCTTCAAGATGCTCACGGGGTGATGGGGCGTGGGCCTCCTCAGGTTGTTACAAGGATCCAGTGAATTAGGGAAGAACTCAGTAAATGATAAGTGAGCTTCACGGCTGCGAGACAGGAACAAGAGCTTTTTCTGTCTTATAGATGAGCGAATCAAGGCTCGGAGAGAAGTAATTTGCCCAGGTCCCACAGAGGGACCCTTCTAGGCCGGACTGGGGGTGCGGGGGGGATGAGCTGGCAGGAATCCACAGGAACCTAGACACCCCTAGAGCTGTGGTTTCCAAGTTGCCTTTGAGAGTGGCTAAAAGATCTCCAGAAGCCCGTCCCCTCCCGTGCCACCATGCCGGGGTGACACACGCACCTCCTTCCCTGCGCCTGCAGATTTCACCGTGACCAACGTGAGCCTGTTCTTCACCTGCGTCCTGCTGCTCTGCGCAGGCCTGGGCTACTGCCTGCTCCTCCAGCTGTACGTGCGGCGCCGGGGCAAGCTGCCCTCCACCCTGGTGAGCCCCCCCCCACCTGGCATGGCAGATCCTCCCTCCTTCACGGCCTCTGCCATCTGACGTCATGGGCGTGGGGCCCTCACGCGCACCCTGGGCACAGGGGGACGAAGCAAACGCAGTGTCTCCTAGTAGCCCAGCAGCCCAGTGCTAGATGGATGGCAGGGGCCAGGCCACTGCTGTCACGTGACAGTGAGGACAGCCAGGAGGGAGGTCAGGGGACAGCCCATGGCCCAGGGTCTCCAACCGGTCACCATGAGAGGTGGATGTCCCTCCTCAGCTCCTCCCAGGGGACCCTCAGATCCACCTTGTGAGAACCAAGAGGCCCTTCCCAAACCTGAGCCCACCCCTGGCCTGGGTGCCAGGTCACCAGCCCCGGCCCCCCGGTGTGGAGAGCCACAGCTGTGAGGACCCCCGCTCAGCCAGGGAGGCGGGGACTCCGCCATGCCCACAGAGACAGATCAGAGAGATCAGGGTGTGTAGGAAAAGCAAGACGAGGCACCAAGGCTCAATGAGAGGATTTTGAGTAAGAACTGCGGGAAGGAAATGGAGACAGCCTGGCCTCAAGAGAACCTTTGCCCAGCCAAGAAAGAACCAGGCCCCCAGCTCGGCAGCCTGGGTAAACCAGACGAGGATCGGAGGCCAGCAGCTCTTATCAACCCTCGAGGGGTTGAAAGTTCCTCCTTGGGTCTAGCTGAAGTGTGTCTTTGTGGTTCTTTCGCTGTTCCTGGGAGCTGTGGTTCCCCACTGGCCTGTTTCGCTGCACCCTGCATATGTGTTGTATGCAGGTCTGGATCCCCGATGGGGGTGGCCGGAGACCCACACACCCCTGTGGATGTGGCCTAGGGCTGAGAGACTGGGACTCAGGAGCTAGAAAGCAGGAGTGGGGGAGGCTGGGCTTGGATGGGAGACACTTACCTGGGGATCATAAGAGCCGTGAGTGGGCGCCGCTGAGCTAGCCAGCGAGCACTTACCTTGAAAGTGGTGCCCGGGCGGGAGCTGAGGGCCGAGGACCTGATCCCTGGCGTCTGACTGTAGCCAAGGTGAGGCCCCGCGTCAGGTAGCCGCTGGGATATGGCTCCTTCACAACCCCGGACACAGTTGACTCGTCCTGGAAGGACTTTCTCCTCTGGAGAGCACAGCCCAGCTTCCTTCCCCATCCCGGCTTTCCCTGACTTCAGTCTGAACTGTAGAATGCGCAGCGCCTGGTCACGTTCGATTGTTTGCTCTTACGTATGCGCCGCCTGGGCTCTGAGCCTTCAGATTGGATGAGCAAGGGCCTCAAGTCAGAACAGCTGAGCACAGACTCAGGTGTGCTCTTCCCTGCTGTGTGACCTCGGGCAAATCACCGAACTTCTCTGAGCTGCATATTTCTCCCTTAGGGAACAGCTCTAGTACTACTTCCCCTACGGTTATCTAAGCCGTGTGGATCTGTTGTGTGCCTTCCATGAGTCACGTGTGGTTCTCAGAGCTTCACGTGCTACCCGCACGTGAGAAGACGTGTTATCATGAACTCCAGTTACCATGAGGAACAAAACACAAAGACCAGTGACTCGGCCTAAGTGGCAAGGCGGATAGGAGGCAGAGCTAGGTTTGAACCCACAAGGCCCAGATCCAGAGTCCACACCCTTCATGGAGTGTGTGACAGTAATCCACTACCAAAGAAATGAGGGCAGGGTGCAATCGCGATCAGTCAGTCAGTCAACAAACCCCCCGAGTGCCAAGGTGCTTTGTATGTTCAGGCTACGCTCTCACTCTGCCTTCTCCTCCCCAGGTCTTCAAGCAGCCCAGCCCCTTTGTCTTCTCCAGCCAGCTCCCCTGCTCAGAGCCGTGGGACACCATCCACCCGCTGGATGAAGAGGCCTTCCCGGAGCTCAAGGCCTCAGGCTTGCACAACAGCACAGATGGTGGCTTTGACAGTAACGAGCCGTCCCTGCAGCTGGAAGAGTCCCCGTTCCTCCTTGGCCCTGACTCGCAGACCCACGAGACTCTGGGAGGCGTGGGGCCCTCCGCGCTGCAGGACAGCTGTAGCAACGGCAGCACGGACAGTGGGATTTGCCTGCAGGGGTCGGGCCTGCTCCCCGGCCCCGGGCCCGCCTGGGAGCCGCAGGATGAGAACGCAGGCCCTGGCCAGGATGACAGCGGTGTCAGCCTCGTCGGGAGCTCGGGAGACTCTGGGGATGCCCAACCGGGCTCAGCCTTGGGCCAGATCCCTCTCCTGGGGCCTGAGGTCCCAAGGGAAGAGGACTCGGCTGTGGTGGCCTTTCAGGGCTACCTGAGACAGACCAGACGTGTGGCCCAGCCGGGAACCAAGGAGGGCTGCCTGGAGAAAGAGACCTTCTTGACGGATGGCCTCAGCCCCAAATTCACGGAGGCAGGCTGGGCCCTGCCTGCGCCCGCCAAGGGCTACGTGAAACAGGATTCTCTCAGAACGTCGGGGGCTCCCCTGGACGCCCCAGCCGGACAGTGGAAGCAGCTGGTGGAGGAGTGGCCCCTCCTGGCCTTTGCCAGCTGTGGGGACCTGGGAACGCCTGGCTGGAGCTTGACCCAGGACCTTGCCTCTTTAGACTGTAAGGCAGCCCGGGGCGGCCTCCTGAGCAGCTTTGACTCCGAATTGGCCCTGCCCCTGATCTCCAGCCTGCACTCCCAAGAGCCACTGGGGCAGAAGGAGGCTTAGATGCCAACCCCGGGCTCCACTGTGCACTCTGGTACAAGCCACGGGGTCCAGAAGGGCAGGAGGAGGCCATCCTGGTGGATACGTCCTGGATGGCTGTGCTGCCCAGCAGGGCCCTGCAAAGGGAAGTCAGCCCTTCCTCTGAGCTTTCCTGTACCGTAACCAATTCTAGGCTCTGCCTGGGAACCACGGGGGCTTCTGGAGCTGGGGAGCGGCCAGGCTGAAGTTGCCTGGCGCAGGCACCTCCACAGGCCAGCCCGGTTTCAAGCCCCTGGCAGGATGGAGTTCAGAGATCTCACGATGGGGTTGTCTCTAGTAGGAAAGGAGGGCTCAGAGGCCAGGTTGGAACTCTGGGGTGGTAACATGGAGATTACACGCCCACTCACTCGGGCAGCAAGCTTGTCACCGGAAGATGCTACACTTATCACTGGAAGATGACCTTACGCTTGTCATGGGAGGATCTTAAGCTCTATCTGCCCTGGGCAGTCAGCCAATCCACCCATCGGTCCACCGAAGGATTTTGGCTCAGAACTGGTGCCTCTTGCCCTGCGATTGACCAATGACCACAGTCATTTCCAGCGGCCCGGTCGCTCACAGTTCACCCCACCACCCACCCGCTTGCTGGTGGCACCTGAGACACTGTGGATGTCTATATGGATCTGAGCTTGGCACTTCAGGCAGCCTCTGGGCTTGAGCCTGCAGGGCTCAGCTGGGCCCCAGAGAGTCAGGGTTTGGCCCTGTATCTGTATTCACTGCTAATGTCCAGCTCTGGGCCCAGAGGACCAGGCCCTGGGCTCAGTGTCCAGCTGTGTGACCGTGGCCACTCACTTCTCAGAAGGATTCAGTTTCCCCATCAGTGAGATGAGCTCACCTTTATGTCAGCTACACTGGCCCCCAGGGCCAAGGAGAATGATATTTGAGAGTCTGGCCTGCCAGAGCCCACACTGGGAGGAAGAGGGCTCTGCCCCTGTCTGTTCAGGGCGACTTCCTCCTTGTGTTGAAGGCCGTACCGGGAGAGTGGCCAGCCACGGGGGCCCAGCAGGGGCAGGGGTGGACCTTGCTTCCCCCAGCCTTGTTTGGAATCTATCTTCACATAAAGGCAGCTCTCCGATGCTGGGAAGCGCCATGCCCATCTCCCCCCACCCCCCAACTTCACTGCACAGACCTTAGGGTCCCAGACACAAGCCCTGCCACTCTGCCAGGAAGCTCAGAGGCGTGGGGGAGGACTCTGGGGAAACTTTATTTATTTACTTCATTTATTTATTGAAGGGGCCGGAGAGCCAGGCAAGGACTCCAGGCTCTCTTCGAAGGTTCTGGCTCTTTTGTACTCTTCCTAGTTGTACAGCCTGGGGTTGATCATTTTTCCTGTTTGAGTCTCAGTTTCCAGATACATGTGTTAAGAAAAGAATGTGTGAGTTATCTTAAGTCCTAGGACCATGGGCTCATGTTCCTTGAGCAAACGAATGTCAGTGTGCTTTGAACACATTGTGAATGAGTACTGTGTGTGTGTCTGTCTGTCTGTCTGTCTGTGTATGTGTGTGTGGTTTTTTTTTTTAATTCCAATAAATTGTCTGGAATCCTGTGAAGACAATCTGGTTTCTTATGGCCCCATGGCTTGTGATTGCTGGATATGCTAATGGTATGCTAATGTTAGGTGGTTGGTCATTGGCTATGCGAATGATATGCTAACAAGTGATGGGGGCAGTGGGGAACAGGCAACCAGAGTGGAACCAGATCCAGCCATGCTAGCATCCCCTGCATCGCTGGTGACCTTCTTAGCGTGTCTGATCCCCGTTGATAACGGGGATGAAATTCAGCATGAGAGGTGGTGATGTTTCAATGAGATTGAGAAACTTTAGGGGGGTGCCAGAAAGGTGGGGTTCCCTGGTAAAGAACTGTCATTGGCTGTGGAGGACGTGAAGGGCAATAGTTTTTCTTGGAAACGGGTGCACAGGAGAGCCTGAGAAGAAATGGAGAAAATGTGCGTGCCTCGTGAAGGCTGGGCTGTTATCTTGGCTACAATGAGCTCAACTCTAAGCTGCTGGGGGAAAACCAAGGAAGTTCTCCCAGGCGGCAGCACCGATGAGATGTCCATCCATGCTTATCTGGAATTTGGGTTGAAGTCCCCCAACGGAAGGTCTGGGCTGTTCCTCCAATGAGCAATATCCTTCAAGGGCCTTTCCAGCCTGGGGAATGTGTGATCGTGTGTTTCTCTGAGCTAAGGGAACTTCCTCTTGGCAAGGAGAGAGGGGAAATGGGTCGACATGGACAAAAGAGGAAATTCTGTTGAACTGGTTTTTTTCCCCAGATTTGTAACTAACTGCTAATGCTCCCCAAATACCTCTATTCCCCCTCACGACCGCCCCCCCACACACAGTCCCTAAGGGGGTGTATCCTGCCCACCAGCCCCCACTGTGTCTACACAGTGTTGGAAGCAGAGAAGGGGGGGGGGGCTACAGGCTGCGCCCGCATGGAATAGACAACAGATCCAACTGCAAGACACAGGCAGGCCCTCGTTAGGGCTGATGTTATCAAACCCACCTTAGCGGACATGGGGTACTGGGAAGTTTGACTCATTCATTTCCTGTTATACTCATGGGTTTGAGGGTTTCATTTGAAGCAAACCCACAATTTAAAAAATCAAGTGCATGGTTATTAATGACCTGCAGTGTCTTTCCCTGCTATCAGATCCATCTTCACTTTAATTTCCCACAACCCTGTTAAAAGGGTAATGGTACCCAGAAAACACCCCGATGAGCAGAGGCTGGGCAGATGGAGCTCGTGTTCTTAAAAGATGACTCAAACCAAGGTGGAAGATGTCACTCCTAGGCAGGAGGCAGAGCCTGAATGGAAGCACTTCATTCCTTTAACGAACACCTACTCTGTGCTTGACGCAGCGTTCAGTCCTGGGGACAAAAAAGGCCTTGGTCTTAAGGAGTGGGTCCCGAGTTATAAAGGTAAACGTCACACAAACCATCACCACCGGTATAGAATCGACGTTCCACAGGAGCCACGAGGCTCACGGGTATCCAGCTGCCCTCCTCTGGATCTCTACCTCCAACTGGTGAGGGTAACAGGCTTGAGTACTCTAGGAGGGGGGGGGGGTCGTTGGAGAAGATGAGCCAAGGAGTCTGGAAACTTCCTAGTCAGCACCACCTTCCCTCCCTTCTGAATCCAGCTCCTTGAAAGAGCAGTTTCCACTCATTGCTCCCAGTTGCTTCTGCTACACTGGTGACCCCAGAGACCCCACGCTACCATGTGTGTGGGGCCAGGGCCCCCTGCTGTTGCGCAGCCCAGAGGGAGCCCAGTTTTGCTCCCCTGAAATTACACACTTGGACACCCCCGTCCCCCTGTGATCACCCAGAATTCATCACCTCCGTGTTCCTTCAGCCTGTCTGAGCCCAAACTACCGCTTCCTCCTTCTCAGTTTGGATGTCCTAACCATGCCACTTTCTGCCCACATGGCCACAGGAATCTGACCTTCCTCATCTAAGCAAACCCGTGGCCCTGCAGGTGACATCCCGAAGCATCCAGCTAGGCCTGGGCCTGGGCCTCCAGGGCTGCACCACCTGCTGTTTTCGTTGGCCTGTGGCTCCCCTGGGCAGGCGGAATATTTTTATTTCTGGTCCCCAAGTGTGAAAATTCACCCCACCACGGGTTTCCTGTTTTGTACCCGATCTGTTCAAATATCACTGCTTCTTGATCGTTTTTGATCACTAAGCAGTTTTTTTTTTTTTATGTAATAATGATACTCCCATCTGTTCCCACTTTTGAGTCTCTCAGAGCCCTGAAGCCTAGAACGTGGTGTCCTGGACCAGCTCCAAGGTGAAGGGCCTGTCACCTGGCCCCTCATGCTGCCGCCCACACAGGGCAGAGCCATGAGCACCGAGGAGATGTCTTATCATGGCTTTGACCGTCTTGTAGGTTGTGCCTGAGATAGAAACCTCACCACCTATGTGCCCTTTCTCCAGAAGCATATCTGATCTCCAACAGAGTCAGATGTGGTGGAGGTGGTGGTGGTGCAGATTGTCAGATGTCGCAGCACCTAAGTGTACCCAGGATGCCCCGAGAGCCTGAGGAACCCTTCCATTGCCTTCATGACCCCTCCCTACCACTGCCAGATCAAAACAAGGCACCTTGGAGAGCTCCTACTTCCTGTGTTGCCAGGAAGTACCTATCAACTAAAAAAGGGAGAGACTAATCTCCAGAGAGACTGTGGGGTCACCAGGAATATAGTGTAGAAGCTGAATTAATGGATGAGTGAATGGATGGATGGATGGATGGATGGATGGATGAAATGGATGATGGGTGGATGGATGGATGGGTAATGGATGGATAAAATAACTAAGCTATGGAATTAAAATCAGAAGAGGCCAAGATCCACAGGTGTTGAAGAAGGTTCCCCGAAGAAGCGGAATTTGAGTTGCATGAAGAATGAGCATGCAAACCTGGGGGCAGGAGGAGGGGATAAAAATCGAAAGGAGAATGAGGAGGGGGTGAGTGAGAAGCTTGGAGCTAAAGATGGAGCCTGGATCCTCAAACTCCTGCTTCTCATACCAGGGAACCCTGAAAGAGGTTAGAGATGAGGAGAAAGGAGCATTTCCTAGAGGCCAAGGGTCTCAGGATGGCAATGGGGGCCGAGCCTAGGAGTGGGTAGCAAAGGATTATAAGGAAAGCACACCCTTGCCTGGTCTTCAGCAATCATTTCACAGCCCTGAGCCTCTATGAGATTGGAGTGAGACTGTGCTCATGGATCCTGAACTCTGGGCCAACACGTGCCCAGCAAACACCAGCATCCACCCACCCAGGCAGAGAGTAGTTGACTAAAAATGGAGCCAGGAGCCAGTGGCTCCACCTGTAGTCCTAGCTACTCAGGAGGCTGAGATCCGAGGATCCAAGTTCAAAGCCAGGCAGGCAGGAAAGTCCAAGAGACTCTCACTTCCAATTAACTACCAAAAAGCCAGAAGTAAAGCTGTGGCTCAAAGTGGTAGAGGGCCGTACTTGAGCAGAAGAACTGAATAGCACCCAGACCCTGAGTTCAAGCCCCAGGACAGACAGACAGACAGACAGACAGACACACACACACACACACACACACACACACACACACACACAGAGGAAGTGGGAAAGAGAGAAGTGGTCTAGCCTTGGATCCTGGCTAGATCTCTTCTGGGTAGGAAGTTAGAACCCTACACCCCTGGGGGCTAGAAGAACTGTAGCAGACACCTTTCAGCTGCCACCTCTTAGAGTTAGGACTACACTCTGTGATTGCATCTTTTGATCACCTACTAGGTCTCAGATTGATAAACAGGATACAGAGGTAAGTAAGGCAGAGTGGGAGCTGGGAGGAGCCTTCATCTAGATTTCCTAGTGCTGCAATCTGCAGTGACTCTGGCCATGCAGCTTCCCTGAGCTCAGGCTGTCTCTTGAGGCTGCAGACTGCTGAGGCTCCAGGCACCGGCCTCTGAACCTCTCCCTGTGTAAAATGGTCCAACTATCTACCCCTGTGTCACTGCATGGCCACAAAATGCCCTAACATATGTGCCAATGCCCCACGCGCTGTGCAAGCAATCTAGGTCCCCCGTAGGGCCACACGGTGCGTTTGTTCTTTTCTACACCAGGGAGTTACCAAGCACACCGTGCGTGCTTTAGTGTGAGGAATGATGAGCGCTGCGGGATCTAACCTGGTTGGGTGAGAGAGCCAGGGAGATCACATGGCCATTGTGGCCCCCCGGATCCTGAAGTCCTTAGGAAAGCTAGGCAGCTGCAGGCTCAGGACGGCCTCCCGCCTCACAGCACCAAAGGAACCAGAGAAGGGTGAAGAGGCCTGGCTCCGCCCTGGGTCCCGGCGGAGCTGACCTCCAGACCTGGGACCTTTCGCCATTTCTGAAGACCCTGGCATCTACCCTGCGGATCTGTCCACAGACACCCATGAGGGTTGGCGTGAGGGCCTGGCCTGAGAAGCTGGGAAGCAAGGAAAACAAGGGAGTGGCAGGGTACGCGTCAGAGAACCCCAAAAGAGGAAGCAGCTCGCTCTCACTTCCACTCCCCACAGGGGAAATCCCCTCCCTTCTCCCGGCCTTCCACAGCTGTCCTGAGTCCTCCCTGCCCCCCACCCCTCCCCATGCCCAGGGCCAGGACCACCTGAGGCTCAGGCCCTGTGACCCCAAGGCTGCTGGGTCCTGAGCAATGCAGGGGCCTCTGGGAGACCCTGTAGGCCCAGGATCCACACAGACCAGGGCACAGGGGAAAGTCTTATTGAGAAAGAGCACCCCAAGGGTTAAAGAGGCGGGGTTTCAAGCTGGGGTTTACATCTGGATACTCAGGAGGCTGAGATCTGAGAGTGAATCCGTGAGACTCTGATCTCCAATTAACTACCAAAAAGCCTTGAGCAAAGCAGCTCAGGGACAGTGCCCAGGCTCTGAGTTCAAGCCTCAGGACCAGCACAAAAAGGAGGAGTGACAGGGAGGGGGGTCAGTACTCAGAGTTAAAGAAGAAAGCCACCACCAGGAGGGGTCCCAAACCACCTTGCCCACCTACCCAGGCAAGAAGACCTAGCTAATGACTCCAAACCCAGAGAC